CCTCCAACATTTAATAATCACCAACAGCGGCCCTGCCCCGCCTCCCATCCCCCGGTTGTCAAAAGGAACGCCTGCGCTCCTCTGTTTAATCCGCTTTTACTCCTCCTCTCCTCACTTCCCTCTCTCCTCCCCCCCCCCCTCCCAGGCTCCCATCACTCAGCACCTGTGAGGATCCCACCGAGAGCAGATAAGGCCTTCTCTCTCTGTGAGTGGGGTTGGGAGATGAGGGGGGTCAGGTAGAACAAAGAGGGAGAAAGCGCGTGGAGACATTGGGAATTCTTGACAGCTGTTTCATTCGGAAGGCAATCTCCTCTCCCCGGTGCCATATCTGAAAAAAAAGACGAAAGGGAAAGAAAGAAAACACAGAGTGGCTGCATTCTCAGGCAGAAAAAGAGAATAGACGATCTTTAGGAAAGTTCAGAGGATTAATTTGACACAAGGCAGAGAGGATGAAGAAGAAGAAGAAGAAGGAGAAAAAATGCCTTCTTTGTCAGAGTAATTGCTCTCACCCAGTCTAGTGTGCAAACTGGGGAGAGATTATAGGATTTATTTCCATGTAGATTTTCAACGGAGACGCTTTGCTGGAGCCATTCTGTTCCCTTCAGCAGAACGTGTGGCCTGGGATGTTCTGTATAAATCCATAAATCCATAAATACTGCCAGAGCCCCATGTCTTTTATTCCCCGGGACAGTGAGGCGGAGCAAGTGCACACGGATCAAATATGTGTGTGTCAGAGCTAACAAATGGAATGTCAACATAAATGACAGCACGGTATATATTTAGCGTACAGGAAGCTGAATAGCAGCTGCAAACGGCCTGCTCATTGTTTTGCAGTTTGAAAACAAGGCGTAGTTCAGGGTCAGATGGCAGTAACTCTTTCACTGAATCATAATGATTTCTACATTTAAAGGTGGATAAAGCAGAAGCAGAAACAGGGATGGAAGTCCTAATTATAGATGCTATCTCAAAAGTGTACAATAATTCCTTTATTTGATGTGGGAAACACAGAACCATCCCGAATTTAGGGGAAGAGATTATTATGAGATCAAAAAACCTCAGCGCATATTTGCATTTGCTGTGCTACTTTGTTTACCAGAATACTTCAAACAATGCATTACCATTTCAAAGCTGGTCAAGTACGTGTAATTCCTTGTCCACACATGAAAACAAGATGAAATTGTGTTTGTCGATTGGATTTCATTATATATTTACTTGCGTGGCCGCCGACCGAGAATAAAAGTGCATTTGTAAAGCATCAGCTTATCTTAGCAGTGAACTTGGGCTGACTCTCTCATGACTTGCATAAAGTAATTGGAGTAAATAGCATTGGGTGCATGAGAAGATGCCTCATGCAGGACAGATGCCTCAAAGACATTTCTGAGGAATCAAAGGCTCCCTCTGTTGGAAAAGAGTCCTAATGTTTTATTCCACATATGTCGCTAATCAAAGGGCCCTCAGAGCACCTTCTGCTTTCAATCCGGCTCTTTGACGGGCTACTTTACATGAGCAAAGGCCCCGAATGTTGCTGGTGTGTGTTAGTGTGGCATAAAAACAGGTCCCATTACATTCAATGCAGCCCACAAGGGAATCATACGCACGCACACATGCTTCTGTTTCCAAACAAATCTCTAATGGTAGCCTCTTTATGTCGCCTTACTGCACAGCAACATCATTTAATACAAGCAAGAACAAACACTAGTTTTAACACGCCTAAATGACACCAGAGTCAAATAACTTTCTTGCAAACAGTTGCAAGTCTACAGAGGAGACAGGGTATGATAAAATATTTGTTCTGTGTAATGAAGTTACATCATAACCAAAGCAGAAAAACCAAAGAATGTTTCATGTACTTTGTTCCAGGTTCCACGGCAACCTCAAATCCCACTGGAGTGTAAATAAACTGTTCAAGTAAAAAAAAAACTTCAAAGCCGAGCTTTCACACGGCTGTGACTCACAGCACATGTGTAGGCTTGTTATCTTGATTGTTTCTCCTCATTTGTGGGGAAGTCTTCTCCTGCCGTCGCCTTCAGGGCTGCAGCCGGTCCCAAGCGGTGTGTGACTCTCCATGGGTGGCAGGGTGGGGAAGGGCCTCGGGTTAAATTGGTTCAGGAAGAGCAGGCCTGTCAGGGTCTACTGTAGCCTGGTTGGATGCTTTTGGGCCCGATGGGACCTCATTTTAAGGATTGGACTGGGGTCAGTGATATTGTGGTGTATCAGATGTTGAGCTATTACAGTATAACCTTCAATTTGATGATAACCATGTGCAACACACGGATCGGTGGATGACCTGTTTCAACACAGAAGACATTTTAAATATTCTGTTCCTTGCTGGTGTTAAAAAAAAAATCTGACATTGGATTAAATTTAAATGTAGTGCTAAGAAATCTTGGGCATAGTAGAAGAATTGACCCACAACCTGACCCTTTAATTTCACTAAAAAAACACTTTAGATTTAGTCTTAAATATTGTGTATATCACTTTTTTTTCCTTCAGCCATTTATCAAAAATGAACAACATGAAAGACAAACCCACAAAATGGTTTCTTAAGAGATATAAGGGATATACATTACATTCAATTAAGATCTAACTTGGACAAAAGCAAGAAATAATCTAACATAAGTGGTTGAGAAATGATTTATGATATATCCTGACATTCTAAAAAGGCTCTCTTTGCAATATACATTCTTTCTTCTTAGACCACTGATCCTACAGCTTGAAGCCATTTGATAATAATTTCTTCATGTGAGATACATAAATGACAACTTTACATCCATGTGCTCTGAATTCAAGTCCCTCATATATATGTCAGTCTTTAAAGTCCTGTTAGCTCAGTTGCGGTAGATCCTTCAAACACCAAATCCCTGAGTGCTATTCAAGGTCAACCATGGGGCCTATTGCCTAAAACATTTTCCTTTCTTTTTAAATAATACCTTGCTGCACAAAGTGTTTGGATTCCGTCTGATCTGAGAGTGAGGTGAGGGCTTTTTGGTAAACACGGTAGGCTCTCTCTGTTCCTCATCTGGTAATCTTTTCAGTAAACCAGTTCATCTCTGTTTCTCTTTCACGCACAGAGCCATCGTCTAAAGAGTGAAAGCCCCTCCCCTCCTCCCCTCCGCTACGCACACATTACAGAGAGCAGCCTCTCCTCTGACACACGCACTCACCAGATGTTTCCCAAAGCTTTAGGGAAGAACCCCCAGGTATGTGCGTGTGCGCGTGTGTTCATGTCAGCTTCGCACAATTGGCTTTTCTTGCGCATCTGCCGAGATTTATGACCACCATTTTTCTTACAGTGTCGCTTCCTCTTTTGAAATCCGATTGGGGCAAAGGATCAGGGATCGGAGAGGGAAGCAGGTTCTTCCACCCAAAACAGGTGACTCAGACTCACCCTGCTGAAAAGAGGGTTAAAAAAAAAAAACCTCCCTAATCCCTTGACACTCACACGCTTTTTTATCTATAGGCGCTTCACACGAAACCCATCTGCTTCTCATATCAATGCACTTGCCAACAACTGGGGTCTACTAGTCTGGCCTGCAGGGGTCAAGAGGACAACATGGAGTAATGAACTGAAACTGGCCGAAAGAAAGAGTCTGCTGTTGATCATTGTAGAAAAAGGGTTTTCATTATACAGTATTATGATGGAGGGAATGCAAAAGGGGGATATTAAAGACTCAGTAGAGCTCTTTGGGTGTGAGTAATGATCGGACAGAGTGCAGCGAGAGACAGATTTACTGTTCCCCTCAGGCCTCAAAGTGTTGAGGGTGCAAGCTGATACAGCAGAGCACCCACTAGGTTACATGCTGCGTTGGATAACATGCTAGGATGAGACCTATTGTATTTTTGATGGCTTTACATTACATCTAGATACATCTAGTGATGTATGGCTGTAATGTCCGTTTTGTGGTGATGACATTACTGTACTGTATATGAGAATATCGCTCCAATACATATCCACAAATCACAATAGAAGTATGGCGAGAGAAAGATCATTTTATTGTCTATAAAAGCTAATGTTTCTTCAGACCATATGGTATCTGTTATCTTAAATGGTATTTTGAAACCTGCAGAGGACCATATTCTCTGTGCTCTATTAAACTCTCAGTCCCAGTGGAATGGCAGCCACCCGTCCACTGTCGAAGTGAGGCTTGTACAGAAACGACCATAAATCATACTATATTCAATTATAATACTCTTTCATGAGTTAAGTTTGAAGCTTGAGCCATATTCTTCTTACTGTATATGCTGCAAAAAATGATATTGATTAGCCCTGCTATGAACAAAAGGACATATTCTGCAAAGAATGATATAACGCAAGCTATTTCATACACTCAAGTCCTATAATTATGTCATATAATTTGCAATATCAACCAAAAGGGATACAACACAAAACATATGTCTTGTGTAACCTCACAGGAAGAATCCTGTCTATATATTCTTATTGCATGTGACCGAGGTAAAAGCTAAAACATTGCTGCTTCTCTAAATGTGCTCTTTTGACACTCAATCAAAGGCAATATGGAAAAAAATGGACTGTTGTTCGAATAGAGTTAAACCTACTTCAGAGTCAGGGCTTTTTTTTATTCAGGTTTAAAGCTTCTCCAAATTCTTTCACAATCCGGGCTAATGTCCAAATGTTCTCCTCTCCTGCCTCACCTTCATTTCACTTGTTGCGCATGTGCTTTCTAGAGACTATTTCCATTCTTACCAGACTGAGTCTTTCAAAGGCCTCCCCCTTCCCCAGGATGCAGACAGATTTGGCAGGAGCTCTGTGATGCCGGGCCAAATGTAAGACCTGCCTTTCCCCTGGAGATGAACATCATAAATTTGACTATTGTCTTTATCGCCATAGGAGTGATCACAGGATGTTATTAGAAGTTCAGCCAGCTCGAGGCAAAACATCCCGGCCAACCGTCACATTGACCTATCAGGAATGGAAATAAAAGAGATGGAGAAACAGGGAGGAAGTGTTTTTATCAGACTCTTTCATTGCCACTGCAACAAATGTGGGAGCCACATTTTGAGTTTGCGCCAATGTACAGCTGTAGCAACTGCAGAGGTTAAACTTGTTTCCACATTCTTCATGGAGGAACTCAAAATCCTGATACTTTTTTTCTCTTTTCACTTTATTCTCTCTTTTAGCTGCTGAAAGAAGAAGGAAGAATCTGGCAACCAGATGACAAATAGAGTCGTTTTTTGTTTTATAGGTTGTCTTAGATTAACTTTATACATCTGAAACACACTAACTTATACATAAGATGGAATGGAAGCTTGCACTGCTTGTTACATCTGTCAAACCTTTTGTGATTGTTACAGCAGCACATTCAAGGGAAATTATTGTTACAATAATTTGAATCTAGCCGCTATTTATTCATTGACATTTTTTTTTTATATTGTATGTACAGAGAATGGCAAAAACAGTTCTTAATGATACACCGATGTAAAAAGGAAAATTGCACTGTGCTTACATCTAAATCATTTTTTACCACCATAGTACCATATTGTGGATAGTAAAAGACAATGAAGGATGGTCATAAAAAAACACAATGAAATAACAATATGTTTCTAATTTCTCCCAGGATGAAAAAGAAAATCCCCCGAAACAATAGCTTTATGGGAAGAATCCATATGTCACAGAGGCGGCGCACAAACATTAATTACACAACAGAAATAATAAACGTGCATTATGGGATATTATTACATTTGCATATGAGGAGAGAAAAAAAAACTCATTAGATATCACAGGCACTTGAACCCCTCCCCAGTTCATAATGGAGACATGTAAAACATCAGTTATTACAGCTTCTATATCAGTGTTGGACCTCCTCACACTCACACACACACACACACACACACCATTCTGCGGTGGAAAAAGAAACATCTGAAACAGACAGAGAGATAAACGAGGAGAAGAAAAGACAGCTAAAGTGAGCGTGGCCTGGTGGGTAACCTCCTGTTTGTACCGCAGACTCCGAGGAATATCTGTGATTACTCCATTGACTGAATCATCTGCGGGGTCAGGTCCTCCTATCTTCTCTCCCTCCTACTCCTCTGCTCTTCTCCCACTCAGTAGCCAAGTGGTTCATATGGCTGCCAAGACATATTCATAGACATATTGGAGCATCTAGTTACTGGCAGCGTTTACAGACACTTAAACACATGTCCACCCACACACACTAGAACATTGGGAGACCGACATCATAGTACTGTTTTCTACATCAATTTTATAATTAAGAACGCTCTACTTGTGAGACCCATAGACCCTTTACGGCAATAACTTTAGATTCCGACCTGTACTACCCATTGCATGGTTCATAGAAACCGTGAACTCTAACTTCTAGATGTACAAATTCAATGGATCTTTCAAATATGGCCTTGTTTGTAACTTCCTGTTCCTAATGTTTGTTAACATGCACTGACTGTAAGAGGCCAGGTAACAGTTGTATTTCCCGGGGATTTTATGATCATAATGTAAACCAGAAACCCGTTTTTTGAAATCCGGGAAGAGGGATTACAGAAACCTGATTTACAAAGCCAGATTTCTTGGCTATGTGTGCATGTAACCAGGTTTTACATGTGAGCATTTGCATGACAAGGACTTCACACAGAGAGACGAGCTGGGACAGCTGTGCAGAGGGAGAGATCATTACATGTGGAAATGCATTCGTAGTCAACATGATTGTTTCCTAAAACTGACACTAAGTAGCCTCTTGAAGTCGGTTTCTATGGCTAAACATTGATGGATTTGTAAAACAGAATCACATTCATCAAAAAGCATCATGTTGCATTACTAGAACAGTTAAAAAAAAGTATGCTAGGTTTAGGAATGATGTCAGGGGCAGGGAATACATCTGATTACTGACCTGCTGCATGTATACACAGATGCACAGTTACCAGGTTACTACAGGAACCAGGGTTTCTAAGGAAACCACATTTTACAGTTAGCTGTGTTACATGGTTTCCTAAGTGCATGTACGTGTGCTGAATGAATGACCCAAAAAACATGTTAAAAAACCAAGTCAGGGTTAATCAATAATCAATTTGACATCTTATCTCAACCTTAACTAAACCTAACTGTAACTCAAAAGGAACCTTTGTCTTAGGAAACATCCTCACATTGCAAAACATTTTCTCATTCTGACAACCAAAGCTTTTTCTTACAGGGATGGAAATACGACACACACACACACACACACACACACACACACACACACACACACACACACACACACACACACAGTATCAAACACGCTCGCACACCACTAATTATTGATTGAACCACAGAAAGGCCCCAAAATGGTTTTCTACCAATGGACATAATCATGAAAAGAAAACAAAATCAGCTCCATTGTACGGGGCAGATGGCTCTGAGGCCACCTACTGCAGTGCGCTGTGGTTCCCTCTGTAACCACGCTGATGAAATATTCAGCGAGGAACAACTCAGACACCTAAAGGTTTCGGTTACAGACGATTCTCTCAAGGCGAGGATGGCAAGGTCCCTGTTTCTTTATCTCGACATACATGACAACATAAACACACACAAAGGGGGGCCATTCATTTTTAATGAGGTACATTAATTAATAACCCAGACCCGACCCCACTCACACTACTGGTTTCCCTGGGTGGGCAGGACAGGGATTTAAAGCTGTTCCCTCCACTGAGAGAACGTTTGGTGACAATGTGAAGGAGAAGAAAGTGAGATAAAGCAGCCAGCAGAGGAGGGGAATCCAGGATTATCTTATTGAATACGAGAGGGGGTTGAAAGGAGTATACGCAGTCTGGGTGAGTGTCGTATCTGAAACCAAAGGGGACATTTCCCTGAACTGAGGTGGGGGTCATGCCCAAACCCCAAGCTCTGACTCTCACACAAGCTGCTTAACATCCACACTTTGTCACCACATGCAGACCCCAGCCAGCGCTCACACACACTTTACACGCAGAAGCTATGCTCGTCGAAGTGACCTGAAAAAACCAGCCTCATTCACACAAGTGATGTATCGACTAAGACCCCCGACAGCACGGGGAGGGGTGCAAAAACATGTCTCGTGCTCGGGGGTTATTATGTTTGGGACACACTGCTGTCACGATGGCCCAAACCAATTGCCTTCTGCCGCGGTGTCTGCTCTACTGAATCTTTCAGATGGATGGGTCAAATCTGCAGATCATGAGCCATAGAAATGGGGCTGGCGCCTGCGAAAGGGGAACAATCGATTGACGACAGGCACTTATGCACATAGTTAGATGACAGTAAAACATAGCAATTCATTTCTTTTTGACAGCTTAAAAGGATAATGGTTCGTATCATTAAAAACATCCTTTTTAAATATTAACATTTCCTATCAACATCTTTGTTTCTCAGCATGTTCATACAAAAAGAAGACACTTTGCCCACTTTGTATGTTTCCCTGTTAATGCTCTTTGGAATCAGTCCTAATCTCCCAAAAGTCCCTCCGTGTCACTGTCTCAAGAGTAGAACAGCCTCCCTTTCTCTGAGCCCTGCAGCCTGCTGAGCTTGGCGAGCTGAGAGGGCGACGGGGGTACGTCCTGTCTGTAGGGGCCCTTGGTCTGAGGAGCGGCCTGCATCGGGGCGGGGCCAGGGGCCTGAGTGTGTTCTCTGCTGTGGTCGTAGGCGATGCTACTGGGGGTCTCCTGCATGGAAGCAGGCCTGGACTTGGCTTCCTGCTCTCTGCGTCTCTGCTCCTGCCTCAGCAGCTCCTGAGTCTCTAAGAGGGCACGAGCATTGAAGTTGGACGTCCCCAGGTATCCGTTACGTGACCCCTGGCTGGAGGGGTGGCGAGGGTTCTCCTTGGATGGCTGGAAGCCCTCTTCTGGCATGGACACCTTGTCCCATGAGTCCTGGGACTCCGTGCTGGGGGCCTTATGGGGTGGCCTAAACACACAAAGGCAGGTAAAGAGGTTAATCGCACCGTTGAGTGAGTCACCTTAAACAGAACCTGGATCTAAAGTGACCGGAGGAGGCGCTCAGAAAAAGATTGCTTTCTTTCTGTAGCGGCCCCTGGGTCAGTGCTATTGAAGGGGAATTCAAAAGAAACTGCACTTCAGCAGAGAATGTGTCCATTGTCACATTTTGTGACATTAACAGGGGGATGTGGTGGTGGTGTTGAGTTAAAATACTACAGGCAACATGAGTGGAGCAAAGAGGGATCTGTTATAGTCAGCTGAATGATTACACTGAATCCTGTTATTTGAAGACGGAGACATGAAAGAGACAGGAAACAAACGCGGGGAAGCCTGAAACGCCATCAGCACTATTAGTTCCACGTCGTAAATAAACACAAATGTTAAAACCACGCTGAGAAAAATGGCTGCTTTCATCCATTTAACTATTTTTTGGAGATGCAGACGGGTGCACTTACAGCACAGAACGAGTAATGGCAGGCCTTCTACTCTCCTCCAGTCTGCCTGCCGGCCTCTACACTGACACAAGGGCCCAACATGCACACATATTGTCTCTAATAGAAAAAAAGAAACTTCCAAGTATGCCTTCTGCCACACATGCTCCCCTTTCTGGAAATTGGCCATGGAAAGCTGTCAATGGGACCCGCGGGGTCTTTGGACAAAGTGTTGAGTCTGCTCCTCCATTATTAGGATCCATTAGGGTAGAGACCTGTGACAGTGTCTTTTGCGTTAGAGGTGCTATGAGAAATCCCATTCACACCTCCCTGACCCGCAGTGTGCTTAAAAAGCTTTTGAGATCACAGCACACAATCCTGCAGAGGGAGGCAGGGGCCCGGCACGCTTTTAGGCCAAAAAGTCTGCATTTCTTATCTGACGAGGCTCATTCCTAGAGACTGACTGGAACAAAAAACAGAACAGGCTATTTTTTGGGGCCAAAATACTTTCCTGACAAAATAAAGTGTGATAAAATAAAATATTTCACTTTTATACTGGAAGTCACACCTCACAATGGATATAATAGAGAGCGATTCTACCTTGACCTTTGGTTTCTTTTTCTCTGTGCTTCAATGTTGAATGGGAAAGAGAAAACAGTTTACAGAACCAAAAGTAAAAAAACACCCGCTCCCCAGGTTGGTTAATAGCTGAACACCAAGGATATGTTTTCTACTTGTGTAGCATGTTTATGTAACTTTGGTGACTTCTGACTCAACCACAGTAGTCTCTTATTCAGTAATCAGAAAAAAGAAATCTAACGTTATAATAGTCAATTTAATGTCATTATAGTCTTTGACTTTAGGTACAAGCATACACGGCTGTCTTTCTACCACACAGTTAACTCATTTAGTATGAATGTAATCTATTGCTGAACCAAACTGACTATAATGACGTAGATATGTATGGCTGGACTGCCATTAAACCCCTTGGGTCAAGCCTAGATCCAGCTTAGGGATTTTAATAACGTACTTTTTTCTTCTTTCTTGCCAGTTAATTCAACACTCCCTTAGAAATATCTCCATGTGATTCCTCAAATCCAGTGTTACTCATGAGGACCTGTGTGGTCCACAATATCTAAGTGGAGGTGAAAAGATAAAGGACACGGCTCAAGGGTCAGTATCTGTAAGCTAAGGTCTATATTTATGCACCCAAAGACAATGTGCAGAGATGGCAAAAGTACACACATCCTTTACTCAAGTAGAAGTACAGATACTCATGTTTAAAAATACTCTGTTAAAAGTACTGACTAAACTTCTTTACTCAAGTAAAAGTAAAGTAGTATGGGCTTCGAAATGTACTTAAGTAGAAAGTACCCATAACTAGCAGCTGTTTTAAAGAGTACCTGACCTAGGGAGGTCAGCTAGCAATTACATTATTGTTCTATTCATATAAAGGGTTATATTAATAGAACAATAATGTAATTGTTAGCTAATGAATGTTTCCATGCTGAACAACGGCAACATGACAACGTTTTCATTGGTCCCTCTTCTTTAGAGAAGACCAGGAAGTGATGGATACACGGATCGTGTTCAAATCAATAGGCACGCAATGACTAAGTAATAATGATCACGCCACCAAACACAGATTCAAACTAAAGTAACGACACTTTTTTGAAAATGTAAGAAGTAGAAAGTACAGGTACTTGTGTTCAAAATGTAAGAAGTAAAAGTAAAAAGTCGTCCTGGAGTAAAGTACTGATACCAGAAAAATGTACTTAAGTACAGTAACGAAGTATTTGTACTCCACTACTTCCCACCTCTGCAAATGTGTATGCATTTATGTACCGTACTTTACAACACAAACACATTATCTGGTTCCGCTCCGTATGTGTGTGCACGCATGTAGAGCCTGTGTAAGTATGAGGGTAATTGGCGGAGGGGCAGATGTAGGGACAGACTGCGGAGAGAGCTCCACCACATGCTTCATATCTGGGTCTTTCTGTCTGGGCGAGCCGCCATGCATTTACACCCCGTCTTGGCTTACAAAGCGGCCAGCGCCGCTCAGGAGGGAGCCGCGTATTTAGAAACCCAGGACGCCTGTTGCACGAGGCAGCAATCTGCGTTTCCAGAATGACCCTTTCGGTTTTTAAAGTCGAAAAAGGGAGATTTAGGGGGAAAGTCTTCGGTGGCGATAAGAGCAGAACAGAAATGGCATTGTTCCACAGGAATGTAATCGTGATTGATGTGTCAGGGGAGTCAGTTCTCTTATCACCTCGACTCCTTTGCCAGAATATGTCACAAAGTAGATTAGTTACATCTACGGAGGGAGGGGATGGGAAAATACATCATGCCAAAGACTGGGGTAAATTTAGAAAGACAGAACATAACAAACAAAGTCAGGAAGTTGGCTTGCAGGAGAATTTGTGGCCGCCGTGTGTTTCTTTAAAACAGCTGGGAAGAATCAGAGTTTATGAGAAGGAGGAGAAAGCACACATACACATGCACGGACACAAAATGATTAGGGGAAAAAACCCAAATGCGTGCAATGGGCAGTGGAACAATTGTAGCTATATTGTGCAAATAAATTGTCTACAAACCTGGAATAATGTTTTCTTTACAACGCGTTAGCGGAGGAATGCAAAGAGCTGCATGGAAAGAGGGGAGAGCTACTGGCGGTTCACACAGGCCACATTTAAGAACCTTATCTTGAACACATTCATGTGTGTGTGTGTGTGTGTGTGTGTGTGTGTGTGTGTGTGTGTGTGTGTGTGTGTGTGTGTGTGTGTGTGTGTGTGTGAGAGAGCGTCTCTTTCAGGCTAATCAGTTGTTTTCTCTTTCCTCCTAACTCACTCGTTCCTCTCCCGGCCCCCTCTCGCCCTCCACTGCCTGTCACCGCTAATCCTGCTCCGACAACAAGCCTTCATTAGTGCTCTTCCAATACTCACATCCCAGACAGCCAGCTAAGCCTGGCCGTCATCAGATAACCATGGTTTCTCCTGGAAGCTCTTTAGGAGGAAGGTTTTTTTTTGTTTCTGCGGGAATGTCCCCTTTGGACTGAACGGCTGACTGCTCAGCTTCCTGTTTTGGAAGAGGAGGACAGGATGAAGGGGTTCCAAAGGAGAGGTGGTTGGAGTTAGAGGGAATTGTGGTTATTAATCTGGGGATGTGAGACTTTAGCTCTTTAATGAGGAACTGTGCCGAGACACAAGCTCTAGAAAGCTTTAGCCAGGGTCAAATGTCAAGCCTGAGCTCAAAGACGCTGTGAGATTATGAGCGGAATGCATATCAAAGACCATCCTCGCCTGGCTCTGTGGCCGGCCGGACCAACTTTCCCAAGAGAAGGAGCTCAGTGAGAGGGGAGGGCTGGAGGCAACTGTCGCATCACATGAGATGGCAGCAGATAACACCTATGAAGCGAATGCACAGATCCCTCTGGCTTATACAGACCACATTGATTAAGCGTCCACGTGGACCGCAAATCCATAGCCATAGACAGGAACATGTTTTAATCGACCTGCCGGTGACTGTTCAGAGACAGCACAGCTAAAAAAAAATATCTGTGCAGGGAGAGATACAATCACAAGAGAGCACAGTTACTCTGGCCAAGAAATTAAAAGACCACACACACACACACATATATACACAATTTAAGTGCCGTCTTTGTTTAAACTGGCAAAGAAGTAGAACTCAAATAAATCAGACTTCACTTTCAACATTTCACGATACAAAAAAACTCACATTGGATTGTTTTCAATGAGGGGATATTAAACAGGGAGAGGAAATGATGTGTAATTCATAACCGAACATCTCTGCGTCCCTTTATCAAAGTATAGAATTGAGGTCTTTGGTGACTTTCTTTCCAAAGATGTAGAACTCAAAATGCAGATATTCCACAAGAAAATGCTTTGCAATTGGAATTGACTTAAGTGAGCTTCAGAGGATTGGATGAGTCACATACGGAAACGCAGGGAATGCAAATGCCGATACTAAACTCTGCCTCACCGCCTCGAGATGTAAGATATGGTAAGCTTTATTGGCATGTCTTTGAAATATATGCAAAAGTATTAAAACAGGAAGATGAAGAAGATGAAGGGCAGCGGCTGTAGCTCTGAACTCATGTTGTGTCGGCAGAGAAAGGTTGCTAAGAAAATAATTCCACTCATTTCACCACTTCCACAGGGTCAACATTGACTTAATGAAAGTGGATATCAGTCAAATAACTCCAAGCGATCACATTAAATGATTTCATTCAAAGAGTTGTGCTAAGAGTCATTCAAATGTCTGTAGGAGGCTTTGTGATTGACTTTGTAATCAAAGAAAGTGTAGAGAAAAAAGGGTAAAGGCACAAAAATGAGGGAAAGAAATTGATACAAATCTGAAAAGTCAAAAGGGCAGTAGGAATGTGATAAGCCTCAGAAAGGAGGGACGGATGGAATAAAGAAGGGAGAGGAGGTCTCACCGTGGCAGGGAGCTGAACTGTCTCCGTGCTTGTTGGAAATCATCTTCTTGCGGCTGCTGCGAGTCAACGTTTACTGAATGGCGTCCGCTCAGTGGTTCCGTCCCATTGCTCGACTGTAAAATCCACACAATGAAAAGATAGAGTTACTATAACATCTGGGCCGACATTTCTGTCTTTGGACACACATCTGGTAAAAGATAACACACTCAAACACAAAAACACTTAGATGATGGAATATGTTTCCCTTAGCACAGCAGTTGGTGTGTCAGTGTGATGCCTCCTGTGTGTTAGGCAACACTCAGGGAACAGGTAGTTAGGAGGTGTGATTCCATGATGAAAATGACACTGCACAATGCACCTGTGATATTAATTACGTATCCTTGGTTGACTTACTAGAATGCCAGGCAGTTTGCACGAACATTTTTAATTCAGAAGAGACTTACAAAAGTGACAGCAGTATGACATTTAATAACAATACCGTGCAGATAATAAAGGACTCTTTTTTTTTTCTGGAATGTCTACAAATGAAAGGGACTGTTGTCCCATTTGTCATAACAGCAACAAATACTGTGTTGTGAGAGAATGTCATGATGATTGACTTAAAAATACAGATGATTATAGCTTGTTGGTTCCAATATTCAAAAAGAGTATGTCCAGAAACAGCGGTAGGATTCTTCTTGTTAGTAGACATATCATACAAGTCTCAGGTGTAGTCAAATAAATGTATTATTAAAAAAAAAATGGCTGAAAAAACATTTACAATTTCTACATAAATAATGACTTTGGAGCTAAATACATGTTCCTTGTAGGATTTAAAATGAAAGTGTTGTTACTGTACATTACACTAAAGATCAGTGCTGATTACATGATATGAAATGTAATCTGATAGTGTAATATTGTGCTAAATGTGTGCAGTGTATTTCTGAAGTAGTAGTAAGCACTAGCATGCTGAAGACATTAAATATAGATGAGTTTCCCCGGTATCTGCTTCATTTCACAGCTTTGCGTGTGACTTGACTACACACCACTAACCTGTACCGTGTGTGTGTGTGTGTTTGTTGTCTGATCGTCTGTGTGGTTGACATGGCGATATCATCTCCCTCAACACTAGCGCACTGCTAACGAGCCGGCTGATGAAAGAACACGACAAGCCAATTAAACAGAGGAGAGCTGAGGAGCTGTGGCCTGACCGAGTGTCACTTTTCATAAGGCTCGGACGCTAATGTGGTAGGCAGGTGAGGGTGTGGATTCTGAGATTTAAATTGGAACAGAGCACTTACAGAATAAGTGTTTTTCTTTTGTCCGGGATGACACTTTTAGAGATTCTTAAAAGTGTTTGCGTTTGGGAGTGGTTGGAAGAAGACAGGTTGTCGTAGTACATGACAGAACAGATTGATGGGGTAAAGGTATGTTTGCGATAGACAGCAAAAATGTCTTGGAAACATCTTGTATTCTTGAAATGGCTGCTTTCCTCCTCACTTGGACAGCTGCAATAACAGCGCAATTACATTTCACTCAGCGTTAATAACAATTCCTTTCTCAAGACGTCCAATTCCTTAAAAATAACAGTATTCCACGTGGGTGAAGTGAATTGGACTCATGTGTTTCGGGTTTCACTGTAACAACACGTTCCGCCGGCTCAGAAAGTGCAGAGCACATAAACGAATATCAGATGAACAGTGAGGTAAAAGGAGAAATTATTTAACTGCGGCCCAATGTGGTGGTGAGAAAATAATTAGTCACGCACACTAAAAGTTTTTAATGGGATTTGAAGGGGAAGTGGCGAGGAATCCGGAGGTGCTTGACACTTCGGTTTAAAACTGAAGGGTTGAGGTGTATGACGCCATGCCAAGAGAAATGCATGAGAAATAGCCAGGAGAGAAAATCAGTCAGTGTAATGGCATTATCAGGGAAGGAGAATCAGATTATTCCACGTTAGGCCCTGGAATACAATGCCATATAAAACATGACATTTGTTGAAATCGAATCAAAGAGACGTCCGTGTTCGTTTCTATCCAATAATGTGAAAAATGATGTCAATACAGCACGCTTTTATCCCTCTCCCTTTCTTGGTGGTGTGACAGACAAAGGAGGGAGGAAGAAAAAAAAGAAATCTCCACCTGTTCAAACATGAGAGCGTTCACAGACGGTGAGTCGGGGGGGGGACATAATTATGAAAATTATTTGCAGCTATCAAAAATCAGAGTCCAGGAAAGCAGCTGGGAAGGCGTTGAGCTTTAAGAGTTCCAAGGTGTAATATTTCTTGGTTCAGTCTTGGTCACAGACCTTTCAGATTTCAAAAGCCGCTTGCTGAGATGGGTCAGCTCTAACATGTGGCTTTTCCGCCTACGCTCCTCATGATGCTCTGTTTGTAGCCCTGCACATAGGGAACCGTTTTAAGAGAAGCCCTGCTGTACACAAACAGACACATGGAACACATTTAAGTTGCTAATGGGCAGAGAACAAGAAGAAAGTGAGAAAATAGTGAAACACCCCATCCTGACAAAAGCACAGTTGGATAATGATTCACTGTTAAAGTCCATGACCCAATTCTGCCAATTTATTAAAAGCAAAACCAAGTCCATTTGTGGTCGCCGGGGTGTGTAGCTCCAGGGCGTAGTATCCATCTGAGAGCAAGCAGTGTGGTGTGCCGTCTCCCACTGGCTGGCCCAGGAAACCATGGTGAATGGAAGCGGTGGCTATCTCCATATCAGTTAAGGACTCGACAGCATGCACAAATGGCAGAACAAAATGTTGGAGTCTTATCTTTTATTGTGAAGATATCTGTGTGGGGTAATAATACTGAAATGCATTATTATGTCGACACAAGAGAAGTGTAATCACTTTGTTCTTAGTCTTATCTGTGAACACACACACACACAGTTTGATATCAAAGTATATGGAGTGCAATATAAAGTGGGTGGGCCTGCATACATCTATGCACATTCACACTGAGTGATGATCAGATGTGTTTGGAACAAGGCAACAATATTGCATTTGCCATAAAGAAATTCATGTCATACCCACAGACAAGCTAAAGGACTCTAAGATTGTGAGTTGTTGTTCAAGTACGTTGGCAAGTCCTGTTGCTTATGGTTGTTGTAATCACAACATCAGTAAATCATGCTTGCTACATGCATTACATTGAACAGCAATATCCATAATTCAGCTATGCATGTTGGGTTAGCGAGCAGTCTTGGAAGAAGCTCAACAAAAGATCGATCCAAATCACCATAATTGACATAAAAATATACAGTCAGGTTACTTTTGGGGATTGAGATAGTAGCAATAGTACCATGACATAGTCCATGTGTCCAATCTTAAGGAGAGGGAGAATCGTCTCATCACTACACAAAGAAGCATCGCAGTTACAATCAAGAGTGGCTAAAGGATTTCCCTGCTGCTTTTTACAGTATGTTACGCTCCTCTTTTGCAAAGTCAGTGTGATCAAACTGTGAAAAACAGCATGTAGAGTCGACTGGCATTTGCTATGTAACAAAATGTGTGAGAAAGAGATTTTTTGAATCCTCTAGGACCTAAAAAAACGCTCCACCATAAATGATGTGACTACTTACAGTACTACTCACACTGCTGTTGTCTTAACTCTAGCCTTTAGCCCATGTGAAGTCAACAGAACTGAGCGATACCCAGTCAAACGCGCAGAAACCCAAGATTGTGCAAACACAACAGATGTTTAGAGGCGCATGTATCCTGGTAGCAGTAGATAGAAGGATAATAACATCAAAATCATTTCCATAAATAAGGGAGCCATAGGCTGCTGTTGGTGTGTTTGATCCAAGGTACCAGCATGGCGCTCACATGATGTGTGTGGTCATGCTCATTGGCGCTCCAAGCCAACAGCACAAATTGATTTTATTGCCGCAGACAGAGAGCGAGAGAGAAAAAGGCAACTCTTTGGAAAACACATCGTGCTTTATGATGAACATCTGGAAATCCCCTCCCACAGAGCAGCGGAGAGGGAGGGAGGGAGGGAGAGAAAACATGCCAGCTCTAATTGTGTGCGTTGGCTTGGGGGCTTCATGATGGACAGGGCTTCTCGTGCCCTGGTCATTATTCCATTAAGGAGTAGCCGGGGGTTCGAGGACTGACCCAAGCATTGTCATCACAGGCGTTCACAGCAGACATACCTGAGCGCGGTCTCAAACACCCCGGAGACAAGCCAGGGGTCAACCCAGAGAGGGAGCCTCGCACCTCACGCTGCTCCATGGGCTCCCTTGCAATCTGTTCCTCATTTCCATGATCATTATAATGTACTTTTGCTGTTTGTCCTCCAAATGTGAAAGATTTTTAAAGAGGTGATATATAACAGCTGTCTGCGCAGAGGAAGATATTTGGTAATAGTGAGTAATGACGAACAAATGAAATACCACTGAGTATCTGCAGTATTAACTTGCACTATGGCCTTTTCATGCTCACAATGTACGGATTAAAGGACTGGCAACATTCTAACTAATGTTCACAAAAAAAGATAGTCTGGTCCGTTTGTTCAGCAAAGTATATTACAGCAGTATCAAAACTATAGCTTTAGCCACAACAAATGGTGATCTACATTTTCATAACATCTGGGTAAACTCTGTCTGAAGGTCCAGCCGCTACTAAATAGACCTTGAGGTGAGATTGCTGTGTCTTACTTACTTTAAATCATCATTTTTGGATAACTGAGGGAGAAAAGTGTTTGTTTTTATAGAAATATACGGCAGGAATATAACAACCTGGCCATGCCTCTAGATGCTAGCAGCTGCTCCTGTTCTGGCATGCAGATCTGTGTGGAAGCCATTATGTTGTAACCTTGAGTACTCAGGGACAACTTGCTTCAAAGTGTAGCTTTGCAGACTCTGATTTGGTGCGCATTTAACTTTCTTCTTGGGCAGCTTGCCTTCTCATGGTTACATTCAATGAAGGCTTGGAGTGGAGGTCACAGAGGTTTCACTTTCATCATTGCGGACAAAATATAGCAATGACAGTGTGCAAAATCATTTAAAAAAAAAAGAGAGATATTTCAATTTCGGGAGAAAAGGTAGCCTTTATAGGTCAGCACAGAACACAGTCACAAGGTTGTGTTTTTCAGTGTGGGTCAGGCTGATATATGGAAGCTGCGAGTGAAGGATGTAAGTGTATTTGACCTTCCAGCCCTGCGTGTGTCTGTACATCTTTGAAAGCTTTTTTGTCCTTTTTCCAAAATGGCCAAAATATGTTTTTTCTTCTACAGTTCTCCTGGTTTTCATTTCAAATCTTTGGCCCCTCTCACTCAAATAAAGCATCCTGCTTTTTGGATGACACTAAGACAGGATTTCTCTCGAGTTCTACTAATCGGTGTCAACCCATAGCATGGGCACGCCAGTATCTTCGCTAACAAGCCCTGCCTTTGTGCATCCTTGTCCACAGGACTATAATAACATGAAAGAGGACTAATAAAATCGACTTCAATACTCCAGGGCTGGCCCTATATCTTATTACCAGTGGAGTAGAGCGGGTAACTCAACAATGTCAACAATCACAAGCAATTAGGAGCTCAGAAGCTCAGAGAGACACACTGAGACTGCTTAGTGCTGAACAAACAGTTAGCATCCCACTTTGTAAGCCAGAATGGAAAGAGAACGATTAAGAGAAAAGTGTGGAGAGATGTCGGCTTTCAGTGATTTTACACCATCAATAGGACTAACACTGACTGAAATCCAAAGCAAACAAAGTCTGCCTTTTTCTCTATAAACGTGGTGGGAAGTGTGCTGCTTTGTCTACCAAACGCATTCAGACAAAAGGAAAAACAGCTAAAGATCACTGCCACATTAGAACTCCACTCCAAACCAATTTCACTGACATCGATAATTGGATGCCAAATATTTTAACTTTCAAGGTCTGACATTCTGACCTATCATTTAGAAAATAGCTCTGCCTGGTGTAACAATTAGCCCTCTTTCCTTTACCACCAGGTCAGAAAGGTCACAGAACAGAAAAAGAAATGTCTGTCTCAAAGCATTAAATCACAAAAAGATATACAAAATATTTGACCTCGAACTTGTTCCTGCTTTGGCTCAGTTTTGTTTGGTTATAGTTGAACATAAGGAGGACATATGACCTTAAATAAAGTGTCAACCAATGAGTTATGTCTCTAACAAAGTTAGAAGAGGGAGTAAAGTAAATATTGTTCCAGTATGTTAAGATAATCGGTGACATTATAGGGTGTGTGGAAAGATGAAAGTGTTTCTTTTTTACTTAAACTCTGGGTGCAGTTGCACAGCAGGATGGAATCAGGACTGAAGGAATTAACAAAGGAATTAACTTATTACATTTTTCCAATTATGAGGATTAAATCCCATTGTTGGTACAGATCAATCAGGAGAAAAAACTTTTAATTTAAATTTAAAAAATGGCTAATTTAAAAATCCCTTTAATCAAGACTAATGGAAATGAATAGTGTTGCTCACGGTCTTCAATTTTTTTCTCCCCTTACTTTGCCTTAAGTCCTAAAAATTCATTTATCATCGAACGTTTCCCATTTTCATCTTCTCCTTCTTGCCGTACTGCAAGTGTGTCATATTTCCTCGACAGTGAAGTCAGATGTGAGTAATGAGCAATTAGATCTAGGCCAAAGGTCAGACCCGGGAATTAGAAAAAAGTCAAATATACTGTATTTGGCAGAAGCTGGGACTGAAGCTGAAGGTTTTAGTGACATCATTTGGCAGTGGTACAACACTGACGGTCCAAAAAGATGACAGTGTAAGATAATTGAGGCACTTCATGAAACTATTGACAGTTAATGTCGTGCCGGGGCTTCGTACTGTGAAACATCAACTTGAATTCCTTTCCCAAGTCATATTGTTATAATTTCAACATGGCATGCTGGGATTTATCACCCTACTTAATTGCAACGTGCAAATATTTAAAACAACATGTCTTCTTCAAGTATGATTGCTTGGAACAATTCATATGGATGCTCAGTGGGTTTTTGATTTGGTACCTCTGTTGGGAAAAATAAAATGTAATGTAAAATTTTGTATCTATTGTTTATTATTACACTTCTAATCTTTAAGAGGGACTACCAATATCGATATGTTCTGTTTGTAACATTGAATTATCTCCAAACAATGAAATGATCATGCTGTTTAACAGAGAAAGCAAACTCTTATCAAAGTAAAGTAATGTCACACGTAGATAGTCAAAGAAATACGATTCAGAATTAAACAATTTGAGTCAATAAATCCAGCTGGTGGAGATAATCTGAGTCCAGCAGAGTCGGGGGAGACACTCTAAGAGCTCTGGGTTTAAGGCAGTCTATGGTTTAAGGGTGTTTTGGAGAATGTGTATCTGGGTGTGTGCAGCTCAGTGCCACGCCAGTGGAGTGCAGATTCTATGGAACACTCACCCAGGACTGGTTGAAGCTGTAGGTGTGCCTGTGGTCGTCCACATCGTCCTCGTGCCTGGAATGCTGGAACTCGTTCCTCAGCCTCAGTATCCGGTCGTGATTACTGGGAGCCATCTGGCTGCTGTGAGGGGGGGGAAGAAGAGGTGAGATAGTTGGACTAGATCAGGGGTTTCCAAACTTTTTTCACCGAGGGCCACATACAGAAAAATATGCGAAGGGCTGGGCCACTCACTAGAGGTGAGGTACATAGCCTCATCAATTCAGTTATAAGTCAGCAAAATCAAATGAAGGTAAATGATGCTTGATACTTGAAAATGCCTTAAGAAAAAAACAGCCTGCATCACAGCTCTCCATAGGGTTTCATTTCTTTTGTTACAAAAAGTGTTCATCCCTTAAAACAGAAGCCTCAGATTGCTCATAATAAGAGGACACATGGCTTTTTTGTTATCAACTTAGATTTGTTAGAAAACATTTCCAACTTTAATTGACTGAATTTATTTGAAAAGATTAACACATGAATACTACTGTGTAATATATTTGTACATATATATTTATGAAGTACAATATAAGATGAGCACAAGTTTCATTTGTGGGCCATATTCCATTATACTTTTTGAATTTGCTGAGGGCCTATTCAAAATGGTACGCGGGCCGCATTTGGCCCCCGCGCCGTAGTTTGGACACCCCTGGACTAGATGTTTCACAGCATGCTTAGCGGTTATCACCCTCACAAAGAAATATACCTGACACATTACTCTGCTTTTCTTGGTGCTTTATCATATCTGAATAATTCACTTGACCACCTTAACACCCCTGTAAATTGTCTTGAGGATCCCTTGATCTGACAGTCGATTCCCTTTTGCATACCTATCTGACATCTCTATGTGCTTTTTCTTCCCCTCCTCCCTTCTTCCAGCCTTTGCTCCTGAACATCCCTGTAGCTGAAAGTGTCCCTCGTGCACGATTGTGAGTGATCCATGTCCCTTTTAGACTGCAGGAGAATGTTGGCCTTTTATGGTACGTAGTCATTAAACACTGTGGAAAAGCCTCATTTACATCCCCTTCATTAAAGGCCTTTGAGGGGCCTGTCAATAGGAATCAATAGCCTTCCTTCAGCTTAACCAGGCTCTCCTTTTATCTACAGCTACAGAGGCAGCACATGACAAAATGCATAATTATGGCTAGCTAGCTTGATAATAGGCCTGTAGTTATGCATACCACAAGGATGAGAGTGACCAAAGGTTAGGAATTTGTGTTGGGGGGGGATGGGAGCTCTGGGATGTAGGGAATGCGATGGATAGGTTGAATGAAGGAAAGGGAGATAAAAGTAGAAGAGTGTTCTCTGGGTTGGCGCTGAGTGAAAAAGGGAAAGGTTAATCAAGAGCATGTGAGAGAAGGGGAAGAAAAGGAAGTGAGCCAAGACCTGCTACCCTGTCATTCTGCGTGTCCTCCTGAGGAGCACTTACAGGTGGCACGCCAGCCGTGGGAGTGATTGCTTATTTGGGCCCAGAGGATTCTGGGTGCAATTATGGTGATAATTGCAGATTAGAATGAGCACATCCTTCCGATGATAATGGGCACTAGGACATGCTGCCAATCAAGCTTCATTAAAAGCACAATAAATAGCAGCTCATAAAGGATGAACGGATCTTCTGTGCATGCCCCTGAGTAGCACTTGGCGAGACACGGTTATCATGTTATTCGTACTGCCTGATCAAAATCAATTGTATTAGTTATAGTCCATTTGATTCCTACAGCTTTATGTGTGTTGGAGAGCAGCGAGCGTACATTAAAGCCTTTTATGTGGATGTGGCCAATTAAGTGGCTCATTGGGCTGTGAGGTGGCTTATACTTGTGGGGTGATGGTGAAGCCCTTCTATTTATGTTCATTACAAAATCGATGTTGCTTTTATATTGGCATGTGGTTTCTTAAATAGCATATGCGATGTTAGAGAAATGTAATGACTTAATTGAATTCTTCAAACTACAGAGCCACTTACATGTATGGCACATACTAACAGAATGATAAAAGTTTCTGTATGGCTACTATTGCAATTAACTCCATATGTACATTGAGTCCGTTAAAATTCATAACATGAATTAACACGGAATCATTCCAGATTTCCCCAATGGCATAGAAAGTGTGCAGTGTACATACAGCATGTACTTGAGAAGAAAATGAAAAGACACATCTGCATTTCTGAATTAATGTTCTTAACATTTCCCAAAGATATGCCTGCTAATACATCTTATATGCTGGAAATAGAGTTTGACAAGACTTATTGGATGGGAAAAGACCAAACATAGATCTGGGAAGTCCAATACATGCAATTAGTTTAATCCCTGAGGCTGGTCAAAGAGAAGACTGGGCTGACTCCAAACAAACAGCATCGTAAATTGTTCTCTTTGACCCTCTAGGGAGGGTCAGTGCTAGCATCAGCATCTCATACATGCACCACTGGGCGAGAGGAAGCAGAGGGGGCAGTGGGAACCAGCTGGGGATCCAGAAAAAGGAGCCACAAAACAGGCAATAAAAAAAGACTGCTCGAGTCCATATACACATGCTACATAAAAGGACCTATTGCCCTTCTCTCACCCACTAGAGCATTCATCTAAGCAAGAGCCTGTATATTACTAAATTTCAGCTCCAGTGTGTGATGGATGGAGTGCTTTGGGAGTGAAATGGGAGAAGATCAGCGAAGACAAGATCTCCGGCAAATCAAAGAACTAACAGCAAGGCACTTTAATATATTTTTCAAAGTACTACAAATGAAAATTGCATCGCGTAGGGACTGGGAATGGGGGCGGGATTTAACGAAGGCTGAATTTGTCATGGCAGTTCAAAGAAGGCCTGTGCAATATCTAGATTATCTGCAGGGGCTTCTCATCTTCGTCCTCCATCCTCCATGGGGGTACCAAGTTGATGGGTTTCTTGGAAAGCAATCCATGGCATTCTCCAGTGTAAATATATTTTAAAAAAAAGGCTGGAAAGCTAAACAGTGGGGAAGAGCGGGAATGGAGCACGAAGAGCCACCAGTATCACTGTAACAGCTGGTAGCAGGCCTGTCTCCATATATAAAGAAGATGGATTCAGCCGCCTTCCCTGAGAACTCCCTAATGCTCGGGCACCTCAACGTGTAATTAGTCAGCATGATCGTTGCAGATGCATCAGGTTTCCCTGCTTATGTATTCCCCTGTGAATGCATCAACGACTGTAATGAACCTGCAGAAAACAATCTGTGAGAAAAAGATTGTTGGGTGAGGTGGCACTTTGCGGCAGTAGACCACCTCAGCAATTAGGATGAATATGTCACCCCAGCCAGCAATAGATGGGTGTTTGGGAATATGAACGAGCTGCTCATCGGTTTGCTATAAGCCACATGTTTGTGCATAAGGGGGAAAGGTCACAGGTTGTGTGAGTGTACTCAGGGGTACAGGCAGGCTGTCTGCATCATGATCGTATGAGTCCCAGAGCTGTTTTCGGAAGATGGGATTCCGCCCATGAAGTATTTTTAAAAAGCAGATTAAATATCCATACGCCACAGCCCTTTCACAATTAACATCTTCATTCTTTACTGTATAATGAGACGCGAGATTCATCTGAGTGTTCACAAGCTAAAATATCAGCATGAGGCCTCTCCCAAATGCATGAAAACTTAGCCCTGCAACACATGGATGAAGAAAGAGAGGCACAAAGAAGCCGATGCACATTCTCCCTCTGCCAGTCTATCTTCTCCTCACTTCACACGCGCTTGTATTCTGTAAAGTCACACCGCTGCTGTATTTATAGCTTGGCTGATAGCGTATTCTGAAGGCTTATTTAGAGAGGTGAACTTGTGAAATAACAGGCAGGTCAAACAAAATGGATTCAGGTCCATCTGAACAACAAAACCCTCTACTGATCACTTCCTCCTGCTGCTAATCCTCTCCCTTATTAGGCAAACATTAAGAAAGGGTAGAGAAATGCCAAGAAACACTTCATTCACAACACATACCAATTCATACTGGAGCAAATGTGTTAGTGCTTTTGTTTAATGAACCAATACAAGAGTCTATTTGCATGTGTGACCCCCATCCCACCTGTGTTTTCCAACCTGACTGGTTGACAGGGGTCATGAGCCCTCTAAAGCTGCAGTTGGGGGTATGCGATGGCCTGTCTGTGTAATAGTCATCCTTTGATCCAGGAGGATTTGGCAGATGTCTCACACGCCACAAGGCTTAGGCCAAGGATGCAAACTATGACACAGCCCAGCCCCCCCCCTTCTTGCTTCTGTTGGTGGATCAAAGCTGCGCGGAGTCTCGGCATGCTCTATAAACACTGCCACTGGCTAATAAAGGAGTAATCCAATAACTGAGAGTGTAACATGGGTCATGTGAGCATACCTGAGGTCAAGGGCCAGTGCCAGCCAATCAGAATGGCAGAACGGAGTGTTATAATCCTCGGGGTACAATTTCAACAGAAGTTTGACGGGAGTTCCGAGAATTGCCACAGACTTATTCATCTCCTAGTTAAGGGAAAAAGGCTGCACTTTTGGGGCGTTGGTGTGCCTTCAAAATCAGACAGTCTGTTATTTCTTATCTGATCAATGCTGATTGAAATTCTATCAGATAATCTGGTTTCTTGCTCTGGCCCTAGTATCTCCACGCAGCAGATGATGGGGCAGGCTTCTTAACTTTGAGCCCGTTGGCAATCTTATATCAAGTCAAAGGCTTAGCTCATATTTATTCTATCGCCCCATGGACTTTCATTTATTTCAAAGACAGAAAGATGAGGCATTTTGGGGAAGATGGACAGCCTTTGGGACCTACCGCGATGATAGAAGAGATTAGATCTGCATTACCGCTGGTCATTTTCGAAGGGGAAAGGGACAAAGATAAAGTTCTTCAGAGGAATCAGCATATATCGGCCAATCTGCCATGATCCACGCCATCAAACGGAAGCATTTGAAGCATATAGCCCTCTCTCGGTCTGTCTTTTCCTCTCCACTTTCCTCTCCTTCCCATCTTCATAACAATATCCTCCAGTTCTCCTCTTGCCTCATCTTTCTCCTTTCTTTATTTCTTTACTTCCCGTATGTTTTATCTCTGAATGCCTCAATACTTCTCTTTGGTTACAGGGAT